AATCCCTTCTGAAAACAAGGTTTTACCCAGATGTTAGCAGGTTTTATGTCCTCCCACCTCCTTTGGGGCCCTGTATTTTACTTTATCTATAGTTATTTATTGTGTTTTAAAAAATGTTGTCACCCGCCTCGAATATTTTTCAGTAGAGAGGCAGGGTAAAAATGTGTCTGTTCTCATAGGGTATGTCTAGACTACAGGGTTTTGTCAACAGAAGTTTTGTCGACAAAAAGCATCTAAACTACATCCAGTTCTGTCGACAAAGCAAGCCGCTATACTGTATAATGGGCACTAGGGGGCAGCAGAGGGTGGGTGGGGAAGGGACGGCTATACTATATAATGGGCACTAGGGGGCAGCAGAGGGTGGGGCGGGGAAGGGGCTATACTATATGATGGGTTTTGGAGGTACCTGTGGGTACATCTACACTACTTCGTTATTCTGAAACAATAAGGGGAGTGTCCACACAGCAAACCTGTTATTTCAACATTATTTTGAAAGAACGGGTTTCTTATTCCAGAACAATAAACCCTCATTCCACGAGGAATAACAGCAATTTCACAATAACGGCAGTATGGACACTCCATTGCTGCTATTTTGAAATCGCTCCTCTCTGGGGCCTCTCAAAGTAATTACTTCCCAGTGCCACCTGGGTCTCTAAATCGAGGTAGTGCGTCCACATTTGGGGAGCCTGCCTTGGACTCATTTTGAGGCTTCCCTGTAGTGTGGCCGTGCTATTTCGAAATATCTTTTTTGGGAGTTATTGTTCCTAAATAACTTATTTTGAAATACCCTTGTAGTGCAGACACACCCTGGGGGGGAGGGGGGGAACGGGCAGGGGGAGGCTGCATGTGGGAGCAGCTTGCTTTGTCAACAGAACTGGATGTAGTCTAGACGCTCTTTGTCTACAGTATCTGTCGACAAAGCCTGCTTGTCCACTAGACAAGCGGGTGTCGCAGACCTTCCCACCGTTAGCAAAGCTGGCTGCTATGTTCCTCTGGAAAGCGCACAACAGGATGACCACCCAGCTTCCTAGGAAGTGACTCGCCTCGTTAATTTGCTAGAGCTGCAGTGTGAGGCAGCATTGCTCTTCCTCTGAGGACTATCATAGCCAATGCCCTCCAGGGACTGGGTCCCAGCAGCCAGCGAGTGCAATAAAAACCCTTCAGTCCCCTCAGTACGTCCAGCGCCTGCAGCGGGAAGGTTGCACGGCTTTTCCCCAGCAAGGTGGGCGATCAATGAGTGACCGAAGCCCCAAGCTTGCAATGGCACGAAAATCATGTCGGTGGGTTCTTCATTGCCACCCTCTGTGCTTGAATAGAGAACCACGTTGTGTGTCTGAGCACACGGGTTGTGTGTGTGTTCACATGCATCTGTCTGTTTATCTGTCCCCACACACCCCTCTGTCCATCCATCCATCCATCGCCACACATCCTATCTAGCTATCTATCTCCATTTATGTCTTGTTCTCTGAATCTATCATTGTGCATTCTACTAATTTCACAATCATGTCTCAGGCCATGGGTTTGCTGGGCTAACTGTCCTAGGGGACGTGCCTAATTCTACTGTGCCCACCCGAGCGGTAGACGAGTGCTAAACTTGCCCATCTCCATGCCGTGACTCTGTTCATTACTTTTGTTGCTGGCAGTGTTCTTGCTTCTCCCTTCTCTCCTCTCTTCCCCAATCCTCCTCTTCCTCCACTGAATCAAAGTGGAAGTGTTGTTTCTTGAGATGGGTCTAGTGTTCCGATCACAGTACGGTCGGTGGGGTGGGTTTTCACTGGTCTGCTCTTGCGGCCACACCTCAGATCTGACCATGGTGTATGCATCTGGTCAAGATGTAGTCTCTGGTCTCTTTTACCCGAATTTACTGTCATGTGTGCTTCTCTAACTGCCTTCATGTTCTCCTGTTTATGAACAGAGTGTCTAGATGCCTTGAAGAGCTCTGGAAGATATCAGTCCATTGCCGGTGGCAAGAACATATAGAGAGACCTCATGCCTAAAGGTGAGTAAATGACTCCATCTATTTAGGGCTGGTCCCAATGTCCGCCAACAAATCAACTATATAATTGGGGGAGTCTGTCTGTGTGTCCGTCTGTGTCTGATTGGTCAAGAACTGCTTCTAAATGGGAAGAGCTGGGACCGCCAAATTCGGTAGGCAGCTTTCTCATATTGTAACGTACAGCGCGGTCAGGGCTTGGTTGTGCCAGGACAAAGGGATGCGGCTGGAATGGGATTGTGTCTCTGAGAACCCTACAGAAAAGAGACAGAACCACCAAGCAGGCGAAAGGGGCTGGCTGGGACGTTCCCTCCCCACCCTCCAGGACTAACCTAGCCTCCCACCCCCTATGCTACCTTCTTGAAGAGAACAGGGGGCTAAAATGCCAACCTTTCCCCACCAATTCGTATGGGGACATTACTGGCTGTTCCCTTTCAGGGAACGAGGGGAAAGTGCCCAGTTTGCTGCATTCCTCATGCTAGCTCAGGAGCCTAAGAGGCAGAGGAACCTGGACCTGCTCCAGCTGGGGAAAGTGCACCACTCCCCTGGCTTTGCCTGCTGCAGTGGCCCTGGAGAGGCGCGTCTCACCTGTCCCCAAGCTGCTGCAGTGAGAGAAGGCTGGAGTGGTTCTCTTTCCATGGGGCAGCCTGCATCCTGAACCCCTCCTCCCCCTCCCCACCCCAGAGCCACGCAGCGTGTAACTTTTCATTTTATTTAAAAAAAAAATCCACCAAAAATGAATTGAGTTAAATTAAATTAAATTCAATCTTCTAGTAAATCAATCAATCCAAGTCCCTTCCCAGTCAATGATTGCCTCTATAGCACTGGTTGCTACGAGAAAACACGGATGTGGGCGGCATTTTTCAATGTTCCGTTCCATTTCGTATTCCCTCTTCTGAATCGAAACGAGGGCTCTCGGTGTGGCAACTTTTTCCAGACAATTCAGGCGGAAACCAAATCTCGGATTATGGGAAGTTCCCATCAGGTGGGAATTCTATTTCCCAGCCAGCTTTGCATTCACCCCAATGGTTGCGTCAAGCGAGGCATTCGCCAACATCAATGTTGCTTCCCCAAATTAGCTCTTACGAGAGACCGAAGAATTCCCACCTCTTCTCCAGGTCTCCCTGCTTGGAGAATGTCACTGCCTTTTATTTTACGTGCTGTGCCCTTTGCAAAGTGTACTGCCCCGTTTGGCTTTGGTGGTTCGATTTTATTTTCGCAGGGGTGGGGGGTGTCTGCTGCACCCAGTTTGAGGGGATGAACCCTTTCCTCTGTGTGTGTGCGTCCATCCGTCCGTCCACAGGAGCTGTGTGTTTAATCTGCCAGAAAATGGTCCTATGGTTATGACAGAAGTTCGGGGATCGGGAGATCTCCGTTCCCATTTCTAGAGAGGCTAATTCAGTGTGTAAACACAGTCTCTTCTCTCAGTCATTCCCACTTTCCCATGATTATTTGACACATCACATTGAGGGCTCCATTTTGAAGGCGCGTAAGGTGTGCAAAATATTATCTACGGCTTTGCTCTGTTTTGTTTCAACTCTGTCACTTAAGAACATCAGAGCACCCAGACTGGTCAGACCCAACGTCTATCCCGCCCAGTGTCCTGTCGGCCCACAGTGGCCAATGCCGGGTACCCCAGAGGGAGGGAACAGAACAGGGAACCATCCAGTAACCCCTCCTCTGTTACCCATTCCCTGCTTCTGGCAAACAGAGGCCAGGGACACCATCTTTGCCCATCCTAATTGCCATTGATGGACCTATCATCGATTAATTTATCTAGCTCTTTTCTGAACCCTGTTAAAGACTTGGTCTTCACAACCTCCTCTGGCAAGGAGTTCCACTTCACTGTCATGCCAGTTACTATGAAGTCCCTTGCTAACAAATCACAAATGCCTTTTTTTTAACCATAGAACTGGAAGAGACCTCAGAAGGCCATCACGTCCAGCCCCCTGCTCTAGGCAGGACCAATCCCAACTAAATCAACCCAGCCAGGGCTTTGTCGAGCCAAGACTTAAACACCTCTAGAGATGGAGACTCCACTACTTCCCTAGGGAACCCATTCCAGTGCTTCACCACCCTCCTAGTGAAATAGTTTTTCCTAATATCCAACTCTTACTTTCGAGGACCTTCCTTCCTGTGAAATTCTTTCAAGAAAGGTCATAGATCAATGACCAACAACTGGTCACAGCTTTTTCTGTGACGATGGAATTGTTTGGATTTGCAAAAGCTAAGGCCGCTAGGTCTTTTTGGTAGACTGAGTGAAAACAATTCATTTAAGATGATGATATGAAAAAGGAAGGAACAGTTTAAATGTTTCTTTACTATTTAGGGTTGGATAATAGTTGTTAGTACAGTTGTAAAGTGATTGGTAACTGCAGTGAGAATACTTGCATTAGTGGAACTACTGTGGTGATTAGTATAAGTGAGATCAGACTGTGCTATCGTTTGTGAAATTATATTTGGGGAACATGGCTGTAAATATTCCCCGAGGGAGTGAGAGAGGGAGGGAGTAAGAAAGGGGGGGGGGGGAGTTAGTCAGTTACTTAGTAGGCTGTTTAGTTGGCTGTCTAGTTAGTTGTTTAATTAGTTTAATTAATTTTTTTCTTTCTGAATGTTCCTGGAAATAGAAAGAAAATGTGTTTGAAAATGAAAAAATAGAAGTCCTGAAATGGTGAACTATTATATCTCTACTACTGGGATAAACTACTGTAGCTTTAAAGTCAATGTATCTGATTCCCATCTGTTCTAAATCAGCTGTAATTCCACTGGTATCAAAATGGTCATTTCTCCAACTCATGCACACTGGCCTTGCTTGACTGACATAAAAACGGCTCGGCTGGTTTTTGCTTGATGACAATTGGGCTCCGTAACATATTTCTATGCACATTCACAGCCTGTTTTGGTTTGAAGCATCTGAACCGAATTGGAAACCAGTCTGGATGGTTGGATTTGCATCCAGATGGTCAGTATTCCAAAGATTCAGACTCTGTCTTTGCCACACCTACATATGGCCCGTTCCGAGAGCGACCCTGGCGAGAACCAGACCATCTCCGGTGGGTTCATCCTAGTGGGGTTTTCCTATCTTCACAAGCTGCAAATCCTTCTGTTTCTGGTGCTTCTGGTCACCTACCTGCTCATTCTGTTGGGGAACCTGCTCATTATCCTCCTGATAAAACTGAACCCCTCTCTCCATACACCCATGTATTTCTTCCTGGTCAACCTGTCCTTCCTGGAAATGTGCTACACCACCAGTGTCTTCCCTCAGCTGCTGGTTCACCTCCTGGTGGAGGAAAAGTCCATCTCCTTAGTTGGCTGTATGGCCCAGATGTTCATAATCCATATAATGGGCCTCACGGAATCCTGCCTGCTTGCAGCTATGGCCTACGACCGCTACGTGGCCATCTGCCACCCCTTGCACTACACGACCATGATGAGCAGCCAGGTGTGTGCATGGCTCATGGGAGCTTCATGGCTCATCAGCATCTCGGTGGAGGTAGCTCAGACCACGTGGCTCTTCAGCCTGCCTTTCTGCGGATCCCACTGCATCCACCACTTCTTCTGTGACGTCCCACCCCTGTTGAAGCTGGCCTGCTCCGACACATCCAAAAACGAGATCATGCTCTTGACCGTGTCAGTGCTGTTCATCATGGGCCCTTTCTTGTTGATACTCCTGTCCTACATCCTCATCATCTCCACCATCCTCCGGCTGCCGTCGGTGGAGGGGAGGCGTAAAGCCTTCTCCACCTGCTCCTCCCACCTCATGGTGGTGACTTTCTTCTATGGAACGGCCCTTTTTACATACCTGGAGCCCAAATCTAGCTCCAGCCTAGAGAATGATCTAATGATTTCCCTCATAAAGACAATTGTGATATCATTGTCAAACCCCATCATATATACTCTGAGGAACAAAGAGGTGAAGAGAGCCTTGAGAAAAATCTTAGAGAAGAGCCTCTTTTCACACAATTGGAGAAATTAGAGAATGAAATTTAAATTCTCCCATTTAAAACAAGGGAATGACGGAAGCGTATAAACACTTTGCTGAGTTTTGCTTGATAACCATTACTTTAAATTGAATTGTTTGCCATTTGAAACACTTTGGCTTGTTGTAAACCTGTCCAGAAAATGGGAAGATAAACTTTTGTTAAATAAACTAGCCCTAATTTTACATGTCTAAATTTTCATGGACATTTGATAGAATCGTTTGATCATATTTCAACTTAATTGAAAATTCACATTGGAATATTTAGTCCAAGTAGTGCTCTGATTTTGCATCTTCAAAAATTGAAATATCAGAGGAAAAATGCTTAAAATATTTTTATTTTTGTGCAACAGTGTTACACTCGACCCCTAACCCCCCGGATTTCTTTCCGCGGTACTCCTTTCTAGAAAGTCACTTCCCATTTCATATGCGTGCAACTGACTTTTCCTTCCTACATGGAATTTGTCCATTACAGTTACTTGGTCCTTATTGTATTTCATCCTATTTACCTCAGATCATTTCTTCAGTTTGTCTGCGGCAGTGTAGACACAGGTATAGTTTTATCGACAAAAGTTCACTTTTTTCAACAAAACCCTGTAGTCTAGATACACCTTTAGAGACTAACAAAAGTATATAGTATCATGAACTTTCATGGGCAAAACCCACTTCTTCAGATGAACTGGAGTAAAAATAACAGAACTGGGTATTTTATAACAGATAAGAAAGAAGTAAAAAGTGCCTGTCAATTGTAGGGCTGGTGCTAATGAGGCTAATTAAGAGGGCTGGAAATGTCCCATTCTTAACGTTTGAGGTAAAAATGAAGTGTTAAAAGCAGGGGAGATTGGCTTTGTAATGTGACATTCAGTTAAAGTCTTTGTTCAAGCCCAGGGAAACAGTGCCCAATTTGCAGATGAATGTAAATTCTGTGTTCTCTCTCTCTCTGTCATTGGCTGGTGAAATTCCTTTGTAGACGAATGACTCCATTTCAATCCATGTTTCAATGCCCAGCCAAGTTACAATGTTCCCGTCCGGGTTTCTCTGTGTGACCATTCCTGATGTCTGATGTATGTCCATTTATCATTTGCTGCGCAGACGGTCCGGTTTGGCCAGTATCCATGGCAGAGGGGCATTGCTGGTGCTTGATAGTGTAGATCACATTTGAGGGTGTGCAGTTGTATGAGCCTCTGATGTGCTTAATAGTGTAGATCACATATGAGGGTGTGCAGTTGTATGAGCCGTTGATGGGGTTGGGTCCTCTGATGGTGTCGCTTGTGTAGATGTGTGCACAGAGTTGGCAGTGGGGTTTGTTTCAGGGGTAGGTTCCTGGGCGAGTGTGTCTGACCTATGGTGTGTGGCTGCTGGAAAGACTTGTTTCAGGTCAGGGGATTGTCTGAGGTGAGGATTGGCCTGTCTCCCAAGGCCTGAGAGAATGAGGGATTGTTTACCATAATACAAAAGGGAGAAGAAAACAAGAACGTAAAAAAACCCAACAACACTGAGTCCCGTGGTTCCTTATAGACTAACAAATGTATTTGGGTAACAGCTTTTGTGCATTGGAACCTGGGTTGTCTGATTAAGTGAGTTCCAGCCCATGAAAACTGGTGCCCAAAGAAATTTGCTAGTCTATAAGGGTGTGTCTAGACTACAGGGTTTTGTCGACAAAAGTGGACTTTTGTCGACAAAACTATACCTGCGTCCACACTGCCTTTGAGTTATGTCGACATAACGTCGATAAAACTCAGCAGTTTTGTCAACGTATGTAAACCTCATTCTACGAGGAATAATGCCTTTTATCGACAGAGTTCTGTCGCTAGAAGGCATTATTGCATCTACACTGTCCTTTGCATCTACACTGTCATGTCGACAAAGCAGCTTGCTTTGTCGACAGAACTGGATGTAGTCTAGACGCTCTTTGTCGACAGAAGCTTTGTCGACAGTATCTGTTGACAAAACTTCTGTCAACAAAACCCTGTAGTCTAGACACACCCTAAGGTGCCACTGGACTCCTCCTTGTTTTTCTCAAAACAAACTAACACTGTGACCCCTCCAGAACTTGTTTATGCTTTTTATTGCTGTCATTTATTAAATTTGCAGGAAAAATGGAAGGACACAAAATAGACGGCAGCGACTCTTGCTGTTTCGTTTCCTCTCCCCAAGCAGAACTATCTCATTCTATGAATGCATCCTCCAGATGTTCTTCATCGCCAGCGCTCTAGTTGGTCTCCTCTTGGTAATGGCTGCTGATTGGTACATAGACATCTTTAAGCGATTACAAAACTCAATTTTTATGAAGCAGGGTGTGCCCGGGGCTGGTGATCAGGGCATGGTTGGGTGGATTAACTCACTCTTTTGCTCAGATTGGATTGATCCTCTCGTTAGCATTCTGTAGTCCAAAAGTCCTGGGCAATTTTTACTGTGAAGTCCCTCAAGTTATCAAACTGGCCTGCACCAATAGTCACATGGTTGAGTGGCTGGTGATCTCCGGTGGCGGGGTGTCAGACACAGTAATCGCTATCCTCTTTTTCATTCCCTGTACCATCATCTTAGTCAAAATAAGCACACGCGTCACAGAAGGGAAGCACAAGGCTGTTCCAGACAGAGGAGCTCAGGTCGTAGTTGTGAGCTTAATACTCATAACTTTGATCTCCATCTGTGCTTGGCCCTTCCAGAAATTCAGCTCAGAAAAGTTGGCCTCAGTCATCACCTCAAAGCCGAACGCAATGAGCTACAAGTTGGACCTCCCTGGTCCGTCTCACTCAGGACCTGGCCAGTCCTAGATGAGGGAGTTTTCCGGACCAGGGAAGACCTGGGAGAGGAGGCACCTCTCCACTGGGCTCCTCACTGCAGCCCCATGAGCTCTGGCAGCCCCACCAGCCCAAGAAGATCCAGGAGTAGCCCTGTGGATGTTTGCGGCCTCACCAGCTGTGAGCTCTGCAGCCACCCTCTTCCTGGCCCTGCTGGCTGTGTGCTCTGGTGCCCTTTGGGCTCTACTGCTCTGCCGATCCCGCCAGCTGGTTTTGCTCCCAGCAACCTCTGTGCTGGGGCCCTCAAGTCCAGCAATATCTGTGACTGGTCTCACAAGTTCCCAGCCTACAGGGAACACTGGTTCTCACTCCAGAATGTAACTAGTCAATAGCTGGTCATGGGATGGCATTAAAACCAGATCATGGGGGCTTTCGATTGGCCATGGCACCCATCAATCTCAGCGACCTCAGGGAAGGTGGATGGGAAAACGAGATGGAGGCAGAACGGACCGGATGGGGGGGAATGGGAAGCTAGATACTTCTTTCTCCCTGGGGGCACAGAAGAGACCAATCTCCCTCCCCAGGGCTGTCAACAGCCAGATTTCTCCAATGTGGTCTGTCTTTGGTACGCAGATGCCTGGGGTCTCATGTCAGGCCTGCCTCTTCCCACAGGGGAACCAGTGACCAGCTCCTAATGGTCTGCGCCATTGAGGGATCAGACCTAGGCCCATTCATTAAAGCTTCCCTTAAGTGTTTTCACCTGATCCTCCTGGGTGTGAATGACTTGACTTTAATGGAGTTACTCCTGTTTGGTACCATATCAAAATCAAACCAATGTATTTCCACGTTCCAACGTGTCATGTATAGCTCCTTGTCCCACACATGATGGGTTTCATTTTCCATTGCCTGGCATCTCAGGGAATTGCTTGTATTGGTGTAAAATTATCTGTAAAAGGGGTATCAAAGGCTCCCCTTGTGACCCAATAGCTTTTCACACCTACTTGGCACAGGTGAGAGAGTCTAAGATTGAGCGGAGCCATTCTTCGAAAGGACACTGTGACCTCACTGCCTAATTTTGTGTAGTGGTCAGGAATTATTATCTTTTGCCCACATTCTCCCCCATGTGGTCTGCCAGGAAAGGGCAGGCAACCTTCCCTCTTATGCTGAGTATTAACCACAAAGAAAGCCACACCACAGAAATATTCATTCCAGATAAAATTAAGAGATGCTTCATGGGACCTGCATCCCAAAGGACTGTGACGGAGCATTAATACAGGGCCTTGCAGAGGAGCAAAGACAATATATCCCTCTTCTCACCTCAGCCTCTCTCTCTGATGTCACTCCTTTGTCAGAAGCAAATAAAGATGCAAGTGAATCCGTTCATGGACTGCATATTTTGTTTATGTACTTGATAAAAATTCATGGGTTGCAAGGTGGGACAGGCATCCTGCGGAACATCACGGCACCCGAAAGTCACTTATTTTTCCTGGTACGATTTCATATTCATTATGGGATGGGGGATTTTCAAAGTGGGATTGGAGGGGGGTGTATGATAGATAGAGGAAGTGCATGGGGATGGATGGATGGATGGATGGATACATAGATAGATAGATGGGGTGTATGGGGATAGATAGATAGAGGGGGAGGTGTGGGGATGGATGGATGGAGAGAGAGAGAGATGGGGGTGTATGGAGAAAGACAGTGTTTTTTAGAGAGAGAAAAGAATAAAAACTACTGTTAAAAATGCCATAATTACAATTAATTTGATTTCCTACAATGTGTTCTTCATGTACCATATCTCAAGGGTTTCTTGCTCATGTGGGTAGCTCTGTGTAAACTGGCTTTTGCCGCAGTACTTTATTGTTCAGTGATCAGTAGAACCCAGCAATAAATACAGAAATTTGGGCCTCATGCTTAAGTTTTCGAAGTGGAAGGGAAATACAGAGCCTGATTCATCCCAGGTGTAAACCTCCTTAGTGACTAACACTAAGGCTGCATCTAGACTGGCAAGTTTTTCCACAAAAGCAGGCGCTTTTGCAGAAAAGCTTGCCAGCTGTCTACACTGGCTACTTGAATTTGCGCAAGAACACTGATGATCTAATGTAAGATTGTCAGTGTTCTTGTGCAGATACTATGCTGCTCCCGTTCGGGGAAAAAGGCCTCTTGCGCAAATGGTGCTTTCTTGTGCAAAACCGCGTCTAAATTGGCACGGACGCTTTTCTGCAAAAAGTGCTTTTGCGCAAAAGCGTCCATGCCAATCTAGATGCTCTTTTCTGCAAATGCTTTTAACAGAAAAACTTTTCCGTTAAAAGCATTTGCAGAAAATCATGCCAGTCTAGACGTAGCCTAAGGGTATGGAGAAACTTTAAAAACAACCACTAGTCCAGTAGCACCCTAAAGACTAATGAAACATGTAGATGGGATCATGAGCTTTTCGTAGCTACGATATACCTCTCTGAAACTAAGGGTATTGTTTGTTAACTCACTAGTTTTGTGCCAGACAGTGGGGTTATTACTAAATTTTGACTTTCAAGGAAAAAGCAAAAATTCAAAATTGTTTAAAAAGTTAAGAGGTCAATAACCCACCCATCCTCATAAAGCGATGACATCTACTAAATATTTTGGAGGGTTTGTCTGGTTCATCAAGAACTCTTCTTGAGTGGTAAGAGCACGAAATTCAGCACACAGCTTCCTCTGACACTATCTTATAGCAAGGTCAAGGTTTGGTTGTGCCAGGAATACAGGGTGTGCCTAGAATGGGATTGCTTGTCAGAAAGCCAAACAGAAAAGACAGAATCACCAGGCACAGTCCTCAAAACTGAGAGAACTGAGCGAATGTTGAAAGAGACTTGAATGAAGATGAGCCAGGAAAATAGGATGACGCTGGAATAGGATTGCTTTTCATTAAACCTTACAGAAAAGAGATAAAGTGGAGAAATTTAGAGGGGGGCTCCGTTACAGCTAAATGAATACTTGAGATTTGAAAATGAGAAATCAATGTTGTTGGAAACCAAATTGACTTTAGCTCCTTTTTTGTCAAAACATAGCAAACGGAAAGGAAAAAAAACTGGATGGAATTCCCATTTTAAATAATTTACTAAAACAAAAGTACAAATTTTAACAATCTCTTTTTCAAGAAATCGAAAATAAAAATTAATGTCATCAAAAGAACACCGTATTTTTGAACAATGCAATCATTGAAATAACGCGTGTGCGTTTTCCCCAAAAAATACGTAAGTGAGTTAAAGACCCGAGCAACGCTGAATAAATCTGCTAGTAACACAATACACACATAACAAATTTACAAATAAAAATAAAATAAAGGTTTATTCAAAAAATGCAGGGTGGGAATTTTTTACCTCTCCTACCGATCAGCTTGAAGCAAGGCTGTGTTTTCAGAGAATAAAAACTCCCATGAACCGACCAGTCCAGCATTATCTACATTTTTTTGACAATCTGCTCGCTCCCTCTGGGTCCACTGGTATTGGCCACTGTCAGCAGACAGGACACTGGACTTGATGGACCATTGATCTGACTGAGTCTGGCCATTCTTATGGCTTCATCCTTTAAGTATCTAAACAGGAGATATCAGATGCTCATCTTTTTTGTAAATCAGATATAGAGTATTTTTTTGAGATTCGGTGGCTCTTCTAAACCTAGCTGTGAGCTTGGATCTCAGTGGACCATCATAAAGTATCATGAATTATTCTTATTGAATCGTGGACTCATAGAATACTTCCACAGAGAACTGGAAGGGACCTCAAGAGGGCATCAAGTCCTGTTCTCTGCCCTCACGGCAGGACCAAGCACCATCTAGATCATCTGTGACAGGTTTCTATCTAACCTGCTCTTAAACATCTCCAGTGATGGAGATTCCACAACCTCCCTGGGCAATTTATTCCAGTGTTTAACCACCCGGAGAGGTAGGGAGTTTTTCCGAATGTCCAACCTCAACCTCCCTTGCTGCAATTTAAGCCCATTGCTTCTTGTTCTATCATCAGAGTTCAAGCAGACCTTGTAATACGCTTTTGGATACTTGAATGCTGCTATCACGTCCCCTCTCAGTCGTCTCTTTTCCAAACTAATTGAACCATTTTTCTGTACAAAAGCTTCAGTAGCCCAGTTAGTCTGTACAGAAAAACAACAACAAATGGTCTGATAGCACTTTATAGACAAACAAAACACGTAGATGGTATCATGAGCTTTCGTGGGTATAGCAGTGGGAATATTTTAAGTTTCTTTTTCATTTAACTTCCTTATGAGCATTCCGTGAAGATAACAGACAGCCAGGTTATGACCTTTGTTGGCAAAGTACCCCATAAAAGTCAGGTTCTAGGACATACTTCATCTACATTGGGATGTTGAAACAAATATCAACACTTTTCCTTCTACCTGCACTTTCCTGATGGCTTTTCCTCATCTCACCTTTTCTCACCAGATCAGACATGGCCAACCAAACCTCTGTGACAGAGTTCCTTCTCCTGGGATTTTCCAACATCCACCAGCTGCAGATTTTACACTTCCTTTTCTTCCTGCTTGTGTACGTAGCAGCACTCGTGGGGAACTTCCTCATCATCGTCATTGTGACCCTCGACCACCATCTCCACAGCCCCATGTACTTCTTCCTCAAGAACATGTCCTTCCTCGACCTCTGCTACATCTCCGCCACCGTTCCCAAGTCCATGGCCAATGCCGTCATGCAGCGTCACTCCATTTCTTTCCACGGTTGCTTCCTACAGTTGTTTTTCTTCATAACGTTCGGGACAGCAGAGTTGGCTTTGCTGACAGTCATGGCATATGACCGCTACTTGGCCATCTGCAGCCCACTGAGATACAGGATAGTCATGAACAACAGAGCATGTGCCCAGATGGTTGCTGGGTCTTGGCTTAGTGGGGCATTGTATTCAGTGTTGCATGTGGGTAACACGTTCCACTTACCCTTTTGTGGGCCCAATATTGTCCATCAGTTCTTCTGTGACATCCCACCCCTCCTGGAGCTCTCTTGCTCTGACACACAACGCAACAAAGCTCACAACATTGTCCTGGCCCTCTGTTATGGCTTTATCTGTGTCGCCTTTATCCTGGTGTCCTATGTTCATATTTTCAACACTGTCCTGAGAATCCCCTCTTTGGAGGGCAGGTCCAAAGCCTTCTCCACCTGCCTGCCCCACCTGTCAGTGGTCTCCTTGTTCGTTGGTGCTGGATTCTTCATGTACATGAAGCCAAACTCTAGCTCCCCTTCCGTTCAGGACATGTTGGTTCCTGTGCTCTATGCTGTCGTCCCACCAGTCCTCAACCCTGTTATCTACAGCTTCAGGAACAAGGAGATCAAGGCTGCACTGAGAAACGTGAAAAGACGGGGATGGGATCTAGCTGCACGTTTCCGGTAACCTGCTCCAAAAAATTCAGAAAAGCATCGCAGAAGGGAACCAGATACTATAGCGGACACATGCACCCTGCTCTAAGCCCCCTTGCCAACTCTGCCCACACATCTACACAAGCAACACCTGCACAGGACCAACCCATGTCAGCCACCACGTCAGGGCTCATGGAACGGCACATCCACCCATGTGATCTGTGCCATCAAGCAGCAGCAATGCCCCTCGGCCATGGATAGCAACCAGACTGGACAATCTCTGTGCCAAGGAGAAAGGGACACACACAAATCGGACATCAGAAATGGTAACACCCAGAAACCTGGAGAGGAACCTTTTAAGCTATCTGGACACTCAGAGTGCATCTACACTGCACCGTTATTTCAAGAGAACTAGCGTTGTTTGGAAATAACAATGCAAGCGTCTACACAGCCATTCCATTATTTTGAAATAATTTCGAAATAATGGCCGACTTATTCCAAAATCTGTAAACCTCATTCTACCAGGAAATAATGCCGTTTTCAAAATAGCTATTTCAAAATAAGGTGTGTGTAGACACTTAGCTGCGACTATTTCGAAATAGAATGGCACTGGTGAGGGGCTAAGTTATTCCTCTCCAGTGCCTTCTGGGGCTTTAAATTGAGGTAGCACCTCTACATTAGGGGAACCTGCCTCGGACTGATTTTGAGGCTTCCCTGTAGTGTGGACGTGCTATTTCTAAATAAGATATTTGAGTATGTCTAGACTACAGGGTTTTGTCGACAGAAGTTTTGTCGACACATACTGTCGACAAAGCTTCTGTCAACAAAGAGCGTCTAGACTACATCCAGTTCTGTCGACACAGCAAGCTGCTTTGTTGACATGACAGTGTGGATGCAAAGGACAGGGTAGATGCAATAACGCCTTCTATCGACAGAACTCTGTTGACAAAAGGCGTTATTCCTCATAGAATGAGGTTTACATACGTCGACAAAACTGCAAATCCAAAGTTGTTGACATAACTCAAAGGCAGTGTGGATGCAGGTATAGTTTTGTCGACAAAAGTCCACTTTTGTCGACAAAACCCTGTAGTCTAGACACACCCTTTCAGAATAACTATTCCAAAATAGCTTATTTTGAAATTGATGTGCAGTGTAGACATACCCTCTGTGATGGATTTGAAAGTAGCTACCCTGGTACAAAAAGAATTTCAAAACCCAAAAGGCGACAGCTGAAGTGGAAATCCTTTGCAAATCCAACACTATCATTGCCATATTGAATAAGGCTCTCGACTGGTCAACACACTACAAAGGCCATTTTCCCTCTCTGAATATTCACATCTCCATGCCAAATGAAAGGAATGACCCACTTCCAAATCTTGACTTCATTAGCCTCATTCACGCAAGAAACCTCTTCCTTATAGAAACCCCTGATATGTATCCTCCACTCCAATTCATCCGATGAAGTGGGATTTTCCACGAAAGCTTTGGCTGAATAAATCTGTGAGTCTCTAAGGGGCTACAAGGTTCCTTGTTGGTTTTTTTTTTCCAGACACAGATTAACAGGGTGACTTGTCTGTGACTTTTCACCAAGGGAAGGATGAGGTTGAGTTTAGGACAGGGGTGGGCAATCGTTTTCAGGGCGGGGGGCACTCCAAGGATTTTGTAGGTGGACAAGGATGGCGCTTTTCTGGGACAGAGGGTGGGTGCAGCAGGGAGCTCAGGGTAGGAGACTGGGATGCAGGAGAGGGAGTGGGGTCCAAGAGGGAATTGGTGAGAAGGAGCCGAGCTGTGATCTAGGACAGGGGATTGTGGTGTAGGGTCCGGGAGGGGGCAGGGTGCAGATGTGGATTGTGATGGGGGGGGGCACAGGTTCTGGGAGGGAGCTGTGACCTAGGGGAGGAGGGGTGCAGAGGGTTTGGGCGGTGGCCTGGGGTAAGGAGTTGGGTAGCTGGAGGAGGTGGGTGCCAGCCAAAACAGCTGGGGGCTCCCTCCATGTGCTTCTGGGCTCCACACATCCCTGGACAGAGGGGAGGGAGACTCTGCATGCAGGCCCCACCCCCTGGCCAATCACTGCAGCTCCCATTGGCCAGGGGAGCATGGTGGAAAAAACTGTTTTGAGCTGCATTGGGCTTCGACTGCCCGGTTCTTTCCTTCCCCTCTCTGTCTCTGCGTGAGCTGGCCCCCAGGGAAAGCACAAAACCCTCTGGCCTGGAGGAGCCATGCCCTGCGTGTGTCAAAGTCCTGCACAGCTCTGGCCTGGGGAAGAGTCTCTGCCCCTCAGCTAAGCTCTGCAGTGGTGAGGGGGAGCTATTCCCAGCCTGTTTGTGCCCCCCTCCCCACAGCGCCCCAAGCAGCGGTGCTTAGCATCCTCTTCACATGCTGCCCCCATCCTAGATCTTTTCTGGGAGATGTACGGGGCGATTCTGCCCCCTACTCAACTTCCTCTGCGGAGCCAGCTCTCTGGCCGGGCTCTTGGATGCCCTGAAGGCAGGGTCCTGCTGCTCAAAACAAGTCATTTAATCAGGCGTCCTGTATTCAGGGTAGGGAAATACAGCCACCCCACATGCGAGTGAGAGTCCCCTCTCGGCCTGTTTGCTTTGGGTGCTCTCAGACCACGAATCCCCGGGCTGAGAATATGCCCAGTGTAAACTACACGGTGGGCTGAGAACCAATTGTGTGGGAAATAGTTTGTCCGAATCTCCATCCTAGACTTCCCCCCATTGCAACGTGAGCCCATTGCTCCTTGTTCTGTCCCCACTGAGAACAGCCTCTCTCCAGCCTCTTTGGAACCCCCCTGCAGGGAGTTGCAGGCTGCTCTCAAATCCCCCCTCACTCTGCTCTGCAGACTGAACAAGCCCCAATCCCTCAGCCTCTCCTCGAAGGTCGTGTGCTCCAGCCCCCCCCAATCATTTTGGTCGCCTCCGCTGGACCCTCTCCAAAGCGTCCACGTCCTTCCTGTAGTGGGGGGCCCAGAACTGGACACAATACTCCAGGGGTGGCCTCCCCAGTGCTGAATAAAGGGGAGCAATTGCATCCCTAGATCTGCTGGCAACACTCCTCCTAATGCACCTCGATATGCCATTAGCTTGCTTGGCTACCAGGGCACCCTGGTGATTCATCTGCTCATGGGACCAGGGTGTGAATTGTGTCCTCTTGCCCTTTCAAATGCCCAGTTGGGCCCTGGGCCTGTCAGGCCTTGTTGAGACAATGGTGTGTTTTGGATTAACAGCTGGGGTTTCACCTCTGGGCCCCTGCTTCCGAGCGAGGGAGTCCCTCCTGCCCTGAACAATTAGCCGAGGATAAATCCCCAGCCCAGCCCGTGGTGCTGAAAGCCAGCGGCACACGGCCCGGCAGCAAAGAGCAGCCAGTGGGGCCCTCCAGCATGGTGCCCACACACCAGAGCCATCCTGCGGAGCAGGCTCAGCTGCAGTGGCAGAAGAGGGGTTCCAAGCCCTGACAGGTATCTCCAAGTCATCTTACTGCAGCTGCATCGGTGGGAGACACACCTCGGTGAGGCCACTCTGGCAGGGTGGGGATCTTACAGCCTGGAGAGGGGAACTGAGACAGCTGGGCCTTTGGCATCACAATACAACAATGATGGAGATAGATAGATAGATAGATAGATAGATAGATAGATAGATAGATAGATAGATAGATAGATAGATAGATAGATAGATAGATAGATAGATGGGGTGTATGGAGATAGATAGATAGGGGGTGTGTGTGGGGATGGATAGATAGACCCTGAAGAACCGAGTGATCTGGGTTTTATTCTCTGGATTTTTTCCTTGCATTTCAGGGTTATGAGATACATATGTTTGATAGCACAATGAATATCACAGCTTATCTTGGGAACACCACAGAGAACTTCTTCAAAATTTCCAACCTGAAGATAGGCCACAACTATACATTCACAGTTCAGGCCAGATGCCTTTATAGTGGACAGATGTGTGGGGAGCCTGCTACTCTTCTGTATGATGAACTAGGAGCTGGTATGTTTTCATTCATTGTGTTTCTGCCTTAAACTAGACATGATCAAAGCCTGTCTTTTAAATACAAAAACAAAAGCTGTTTTGTTGGGTTTTTTTACTGTGTGCTCTTCAGGCCAAGGACTTCGAATATTATAAATTCCAGTTACGTGTTTTGCTAGAGGGCATCTAGAGGGGATCACCACTGTTAGCAGGATTTAAATGCCATTATGATTTTATACCATGCAGAGTCATTATTCCACTGGAAGATCTTTAGGAAACTAAACCGACAGCAGTTACCCGAACACTGTAAAGCAGCAATTGCAAATGGCATTTTTTTTCCCATTCATAGGTGAAGATGCCTCTGCAGGGTGGAGATAGAGGGGGGTGTGTGGGGATAGATAGATAGATAGATAGATAGATAGATAGATAGATAGATAGATAGATAGATAGAGGGGGTGTGCGGGGATAGATAGATTAGATAGATAGATAGATAGATAGATAGATAGATAGATAGATAGATAGATAGATAGATAGAGGATATGGGATAGGAAGATAGGCTGGCTGGCTAGCATTGGAAGACGGAATGCATCACAACTGGAAAGAAGAAGACTTCCTGCCCAGTAAGTTTGCTATTCCAATTACATCTGCTTGGGTATTAATGTAGAAGAAAAATGTATGAACCTCAATATGAATTATGATCTGAGGTCTTTGTCTTGAGTTTAATCAAATGGCTCGACCAGAAGATTTCCAGCCTTCTGGGAAATGCTGAGTTTTGAAACCTGTTGGGGACAAGTCAAGTTCTTCCGCTGAAAGCCGCACATGTGTCGGTGCCTCTTAGGTGTTAGTAGGGAAGCAGGCACCTGGTGAGACCCAAACTCTGTAGCGGAAACAGCCAGAGCTCTCTACACATCATCAACAAAATGTCATGATAAGCCTGAAACATGCAAGGCAGCGGGGGGGATATGGGCACCACCTAACTAGAACACCTTTTCAATGGGCGTCTTCCGACCGCCACCAAGCCCAGTTCTGTGTCAAAGCAAGAGTGGTCCAAGTTGAAATGTTGCAAGGGGTCCCAGATCCTGGAAGGGTGGGTGAGACCGGCCTAAGGAAATCAAGCAGGTCAGGGAGAGAGTCAAGACAGGATTCCAAATCCACAGGTAGCCGAGGCAGATGGAAACACGGCGGGTCCTGGGTACCGTGAATCTGTTTGTAGCTGAGGAGCAGGCTCTTTGGGGGGAGGGAAGCGGGGGGAAGAAGCCAGCGATATGGACACTGGGTGGGTCCAAGAAGCATTGTCTCGAAGGGTGGGGATCGGGCGATGTGGGTGTATTTTAGTGCTTCTGTTTCCTGCCCCTGTTGTCCACCAGGGACTGGGTTAGGTTGGGATGGTAATTTGCTCCATCCGTTATACAACGCTGGAAGACTTACCCGGCGTGGCTCGGGTCCTGGCCTCAATTCCTGTTGGGTTTTTTGGAGGGAAAACAAAATGCAAATGTCTTGGCTTCCTTTGAATGACTGCTCTGGGGCAGGGCTGGGGAGGAAGGGTGTGGGACGCAGAAGAGAGACAACCACCCTGGCCACTCACGGCAGCAACTCGGGGCCGGGGGGAGAGAAGTACCTCTCCATGGCTACCGCAGCTCCAGCGGGCACCACTTGGGCAGGGGGGCATGCCCCCAGCTGGGGCAGGCCTAGGTTAGGCTGGATGGGGACACGGAAGGACTGCTTGTCCCCCAGCACCATTTCTGGGGCAGCTCTGGTTGGGTGCCATGGCTGGGACAGGAGGCATCCCCTCCTGGTGTCCTAGCATGGAGAAGACGCAGTGAGGGGAGGGGGCAGAGGTGGAACCCATGCTGCGCCCCTGCCCTCCCTCCAACCCTGACTCAGTTCTGCCGGTTTTGAGGACGGCGCGCGCTCTGGGGATTGTCATAGAACTGTAGAATGCAAGAACTGGAAGGGACCTCGAGAGGTCACCATGCCCCGTCCCCTGCCCTCCCGACATCTCTTTTCTGTATGGTTTTAGGAGACGCCGTCCCATTCCAGGCACCTCCCAATGCCCCGGCACAATCCTCACCCTGGCTTTACGTTTCGATGCGAGCGAAGATGCGTATCAAGTGTGGGTAGCCCTCGCTCATACCATCGTGGGGATGGGGGCGTAGTGGGACACCCAGACAGGCTGTGATGACGTGGGGATTTCATTCACTCAGTTCTGTCGCATGTGAGTGTTACTGTCCTGTGGTAACCCCGGGGGCGTGCCTCAGTTTCCCTGAGTGCTTTACTAATATCTAGATGGTGGTGGGAATGTCAGTTGGACAGATTCTCTCACGGACAAAATGGGCAACACCTTTCTAACTGGAGCCTGGGAGGGGGGGCGATCGGGTAGTATCCTTTGCCCTGGAAGCAGGACAAAAGCCTGGGGCCAGGGCCAGCTCGAGCCATTCCTGCGCCCCGGGCAGCAGGTGTGCTATGCTTGCACAGCTCCACCCCTGGGCGCACAGCACATGTGCGGCCCCACCCCCCGGTGCATTGCACACCTTATAGCTGCCATCGGGCTCCCCCCATAGGTTGGCACCCTGGGCAGCTGCCCGGCTAGTCCCCCTCCTTAATCCAGCCCTGCCTGGAAGAAGGGCAGGGCTGGGACCAGGAGCTGCATGGATGCCACTCTTGGCTGTCTTGAGGGGCAGGGTCAGGGCCCCTAGTTCTCAGCCCCCCTCTTCCCAAGATGGATGGTACAGGATGCTCCTGGTTCCTGTGCTGACAAGTCTGTTCTACGCCGTGTCCCTGTCGACTAATTACCCTCCTGTGCTCCCAGCCAGCTGAGAGTCCCGTCTGGCTACAGATGGACGGACAGGGCCTGTGGACACCCCCGCACTTTGGTGACACAGACAGACTCAAATGTAGAGTAGATTTCCTCAAGCCAATCCCTGGGCCAGATCCTCAGACGGTGTAAAACCACCCAGAAACGTTGGGAGCGATGGCCATGTGCGTTGATGGGCTAACACGCCTGACTAATGGCCTGGTTGTCAGAGGAGAGGTGCCGTCACCTCGGGTAAGACGGGACCCTGGATCCCAGTCTTTGTTTTTTCCCTCCGCAGCCATCCCACCATGTGCTGAGGGAGAAAATGTCCAACCAAAGCTCCATGGCTGAGTTCCTGCTCCTGGGGTTCTCCGACATCCGGGAACTGCAGATTCTGCACTTCGTGCTGTTCCTGGTTCTTTACCTGGCCGCCCTGGTGGGGAACCTTCTCATCATCTCAGCCATTGCCATCAACCGCCAGCTCCACACCCCTATGTACTTCTTCCTGGGGAACCTGTCCCTCCTTGACCTCGGCTCCATCTCCGTCACCGTCCCTAAGTCCATGGCCAACTCCCTCCTGGACATCCGCTCCATTTCCTATGTGGGATGCGTCGCCCAAGTCTTTCTCTTCGTCTTCTTTGCTGCAGCCAACTTTGGCTTGCTCACCGTCATGGCCTACGACCGGTACGTGGCCATCTGCCAACCGCTGCACTACGAGCGCGTGATGAACCGGACAGCGTGTGTCCGCTTGGCCGCCGGCGCCTGGCTCACTGGTCTGGTCTACTCTGCTCTGCACACCGGGAACACCTTCTGGTTGCCCCTCTGCCAGTCCAACGTCATTGACCAGTTCTTCTGTGAACTCCCCCAGCTCCTCAAGCTCTTGTGCCCCGGCGCGTACCGCAGCGAAGTTGGCGTGCTGGGCTTTAGCGCCTGCTTGCTATTAGGCTGCTTCGCTTTCATCATCGTGTCGTACGCGCACATCTTCTCCGCGGTGCTGCGAATCCCTCCCGGGCAGGGCCGGCACAAGGCCTTCTCCACCTGCCTCCCCCACCTCATCGTCATCTCCTTGTTCATCTGCACTGGCACCTTTGCCCACCTCAAGCCCCGCTCCAGCTCAGCCCCAGGACTGGATCTGGCGGTGGCTGTGGTCTACGCCGTGGTGCCGCCCATGATGAATCCAGTCATCTACAGCATGAGGAACAAGGAGATCAAAGCGGCATTGAGAAGGCTAACAGTATGGACATTATTCACCAGAAATAACATGCTCTGGCTTTCTCCCATGCCCGTGACTTTATTCTGGCTTTTGTAATAGCAGCATTCAAGTATGAGAACATTCATTCTCTGGGAAAATCACATGCAAGGAGCGTACATGATCGCGAAACTCCAGTCCAACTCCGATTAAGTCAATGGACTCTCTGTTGAGTTCCACTAGTGCGTATGCGATACTAGCACTCCAGTCCAACTCAACTTAAATCAACAAAGTTTGTCGGGTTCCAGCAGGGTAAATAAAGTCAGGACAGATCCATTAATCCATTGTGAGGGTTGTATTGGTACCATCATCATGTTGTGAGAGCCCCTTGCACATTAAATTGGTAGCTAACACAATGTCTTGAGTCACCTTTGTTGAGTGTTTGCTTTTCTCTTTCCGGGAGTGGAAAGTTTAATGTTTTTGTTTGGAATCTGTGATGTTTTCTTTCCTTGATTGTCTCTGCTTTTTTGTTTTGCTGGTGGAGCTGTTTGGGGTGAATTGAGAAGCATGGGGTATGTTTGCTTAGAAAAAAATGTTTGTTCTTGCCATCGACCAGAGGGTGTTGAGATGTAAACACTTTGATAGGACTTTCCATGAGAGCTCAATTTTTCCCATAGGCCGTGTCCAGACTCAGGGGTTTTTTCGGGAAAAGTAGCCTTTTCCCGAAAAAACTTCCCCTGCGTCCAGACTCAAGCCGCGTTCTTTCGAAATTATTTCGAAAGAACGCGGCTTTTCTTTCGATGGCAGTAAACCTCATTTCACGAGGAAGAACGCCTTCTTTCGAAAGTTCCTCTTTTGAAAGAAGGCGTTCTTCAACGTAAAGAGGCTGTCTTCGAAAGAGAGCATCCAGACTCGCTGGGTGCTCTCTTTCGAAAAAGCGGATTTCTCTTTCGAAAGAAGCCTGCAGTCTAGACATAGCCATACTGACCAAGGGACAGGAAAGGGAATCTGCAGGTGTAGGAATGGTTGAATTCCAGCTGGAATGATGATTTTAATAAGAACATGAGAAAGTGGGTCAGACCAAAGGCCCATCCAGACTAGTGTCCTGTCTGCCCACAGTGGTCAACGTCAGGTGCCCAGAGGGTGTGAATAGAACAGGGAATCATCCAGTGATCCCTCCCCTGTATCCCATTCCCAGCCTCTGAAAGAGATAGATGGAGGGGGTGCGTGTGGATGGATGGATGGATGGATGGATGGATGGATAGATTAGAGGGGGTATGTGGGGATAGATAGATACATAGATAGAGGGGGTTTATGGGGATGGATGGATAGAAAGATAACAGGGCATGTGTGGGGATAAATAAAACAAAAAACAGGACTATGTAGCACTTTAAAGACTAACAAGCTGGTTTATTAGGTGATGAGCTTTCGTGGGCCAGACCCACTTCCTCAGATCAAATAGTGGAAGAAAATTGCCACAACCATATATACCAAAGGATACAATTTAAAAAAAATGAACACACATGAAAAGGACAAATCAAACTTAGGTGTAAAGTGGAGAACTTAAGCATGAATGACAGTTCAGAGGATTCTCTTTCAAGTGCAGTCTTAAAAGGCCTTTGAGGCAGGATGCAGGTAATCAAGTCGTTGAGTCAATGTCCTTTCTGGTTGAAATGGCAAGAAACTGTTTTTTCTTTGTGATCCTGTCTGATCTCTGTTTTGTGGGCATTGATCCTTTGGCGAAGATAGATATTCAAAATTAAGTTTTCCTGAATCCAAATGTAGTGTCTGGCTGTTTCTACCTGGGAACCTCTGACTCATTTTGGAAATCAAAATTAAGACACCAAGCCATATCCTTAGATAGTCACTGCCCCCCTTATACCCACACTCCAGTGACTCCCTGTCGCCCATTCCCAGCCCCTGACACACAAAAGCCAGGGACCCTTCCCTGCCCAGCCTGGCTAATAAGTATTGATGGGCGGATCTAGTGAAGAAGTCCATGGATTTACCTAGTTCTCAGTGGAATCCTGTTCTAGTTTTATAGTTTGGGCCCTTCGCCCATCTCCTCAGAAAAAGGTCCAAAGGTTGATTGCAAAGAAATCATCCCATTTGCTTGTTTAAAACCTGCCGCCCGTACACATCTGTGTGTGCTTTCCTCTGCTCCATTAGTGCTGGAATGAATAACATTTCCTTGGTCTCTTTTCCCCACACCATTCCTGATTTTCTAGCCTCCCCCACCCCCCATCCCGCCCTTTCGTCATTTCTTGTCCTAGCTGAACAGTCCCAGTCTTGTTAGTTTCTCCTCCGATGGAAGCTGTTCCTCACCCCTCCTCGTTTCAGTGGTCCTTTCTGCATCTTTTCCAAATCCAACTTTTATACTTTTAAATGGGGTGACCGTGTCTGTACACAGTATGTGGGCGCCGTGACTTTACAGAGAGGCAGTTTGATATTTTCTGTCTTCTTATCTATCGCTTTCCTAATCACAGAATCCTAGAACACGAGAACTGGGAGGGACTCGAGAGCCATCGACTCCAGTCCCCTGCCTTTATGGCAGGACCAAGCACCGTCTAGACCATCCCTGACAGTGTCTGTCCAACCTGCTCTTCAGGGGAGATTCCACAACCTCCCTAGGCAATTTATTCCAGTGATTAACCACCAGGACAGGCAGGAAGTTTTTCCTAATGTCCAACCTCAATCTCTCTTGCTGCAGTTTAAGCCCATTGTTCCTTGTCCTGTCCTCAGAGGCCAAGGAGAACAAGTTTTCTCCCTCCTCCTTGTGACACCCTTTTAGATACCTGAAAAGCGCTCTCATGTCCCCTCTCAGTCTTCTCTTTTGTAAACTAACCAAGCCCAGTTCTTTCAGTCTTCCCTCCTAGCTCATGTTCTCTAGACCTTTCATCATTCTTGTTGCTCTTCTCTGGACCCTCTCCAATTTCTCCACATCTTTCTTGAAATGCGGTGCCCAGAACTGGACACAATAGTCCAGCTGAGGCCTAACCAGCGCAGAGCAGAACGGAAGAATGGCTTCTCGTGTCTTGCTCACCACACTCCTGTTTATGCCGCCCAGAATCAGGTTTGCTTTTTTTGCAACAGTGTCCCTCTGTTGGCTCCTATTTAGCTTGTGGTCTGCTAAGGATTCCCAATTTTCTGTTTGCTTTCAGACTGCCAATGCACACGGAGCAGATGTTTTCAGGGAACTAACTACAGCAGTTGCAAGCTCTCTCGCTCGAGTGGTGGCAGCTAATCTTTTTTGTTTGTACAGCAAGGATTGTATTTCCCCACGTGCGTTACTTTGCATTTATCAACACTGATTTCCATCTGCCCTTGTGTTGCCCAATCACCCAGTTTTGCGAGGTCCCTTTGTAAACTCTGCCCAGGCAACTTTTAACTATTTTATGTAATTTTGTATCATCTGCAAACTTTGCCAATTCTCTTTTTAGTCCTTATTCAAGACCATTTATGATTCGTTGAGCAGCTCTGGTTCCACTACAGATCCCTGGAACCCACCACTAGTTACCTCGCTCCACTAGTTATTCCTACCATTGTGGAATGCGGTGTAACAGTTAACTTGAACTCAGGACTTAGTTCGAGTTAACGTTTGACTGCCGCGTGTCGCCTTGGGAAGTTAGTTCGGTCTAAGGGGATTTAAAAATGATGCCCGGATGGGAAGATGCAAATAAAGCCCGGGGTATGTCTACACTACAAAGTCAAGTCGAAATAACAGCCGTTATTTCGAATTCACTTGAATAGCATCTACACAGGCAAACCGCTATTTCAAAATAAATTCGAAATAGTGGAGCCCTTATTTCGAATTTGGTAAACCTCATTCTGCGAGGAGCAACACCAAATTGGAAATAGCTATTTCGAATTAAGTGTTGTATAGATGCTTCATTCGAAATAGGGGGCCTCCAGCCCTTCCCAGAGAGCCCTGGGGGCCACTCTGGGCACAACCAGGAAAACTTACTCTCCTCTCCCCCAGCCCCGGAGCCATTAAAGGGGTAGACCCTGGTCACAGTGCCTGTGCCAGCTCCAAGCCTGCCAGCCCAGAGCCAGCAGTGGCCAACGGGGCCCAGTGGCCCCAAAACAGGAGCCAGCAAGACACTGGCAGCCAGCCCTCCACCGCTCCCCAGGAGCAGTCTGCCAGCTCCCAGGAGCCTGCCAGGGGCTGGAGAAGGCGGGCGCCTTCCTGGCCCAGGGTGGAGATCATGGGCCTTATTCAGGTTTGGGGGGGATGCCCCCAATGTCCATGATCTCCGCACTAGACGGAGGAACACGCCCATCTATGGCAGGAGAGCTGCCAGCCTGGCCACCAAAGGCCACATGCGAACCCAGGAGCAGGTTTGCATGAAAGTCA